TGCCAAAAATAGTCAACGCCGATGCAGTGTTCCTTAGCGAAGTGACTGGGATAAAAGAAAGCTAAATTGAGTCAGTTGTGTATAGTAAAACAAAATAAAATAAAAGGAATTTGTATACCGCTTGCTTCGTTTTTTGCTGCTTTGTTTTTTTTTGTCTTTGCTGTTGTTTTGCTTTTGTTTTTCTTTGTGTTTTTTTTTGTGTAAGATGCGGATAGGAGGTATAAACATCCGATTGCGGCCCATCTTTATGAACCTACCATTTACGGCGCGTAAAGCTTTATTTTCGGTTTGGAGCAACTTCGCTGGAGAGCGGGATCCCCTTGAAGGTGCCAGGCTGGTGAAAGATAGACCCTCTGGAAGGATCTATTGCCCGGCGATGCAACTCTTCGTCGGAAAGGCGTGGGTAGCTGCTGTAGACGCTCTGGGTGTCTTTGGTCCCGCATCGGTGGGTTTGCGACTGCTGTCGTGTCCCTTGCCACCCGCAGCTACCGCACATCACAGGCAGGAGCAGCACTCCCTGCCGCACGGAATTTGGGGCCGGCTTGGTGTACTCGACGTGGCCACGGCAGGTGGGGCAGGTGGTCGCGCCTCGAATGCAGGACTCACAGAATATGTGGCCGCAAATAAACACCTGCGTGGGACTCTGGAACGAGTCCAAGCACACCTGACACGTGAGGGCCTCGGGGGGGCCGAGGGCTCTGCAGCACGACATTAGCGGACGGACGGCACGGGGGGTGAGGACTCGAGCAACTTTTCCTCTCGCGGTTGTGGGCGACGGCGTCGAGACCAGAGAAGCCGAGGGAGGAGGGGGATGGAAAGAGAGCAGAGAAACACAACAAAACAAAACAAAAAGACGGAATAAAAAGAGATGATGCTTTTTCATTACTGTCCCTCCTCCTTGCCCCGGGGGCGGAGCGGCCAGCGCACCAACGGCGCGGCAGATGGGCAGGAGGGGGGGAAGGCGAACTCGGCCCCACGAAGGGATTCTACCGGGCAGCCCTCGGCTGCTGCATGGGCAGAGGCGCCAGACCCCGGCCTCGACAGCGACGCGTCTCGCACACCCTACAAAAAAAAAATGACAAGACAAAAAAAACAAGACATACACACTTCGGCAGCGATGAAGAAAAAAAAAAGGGGGGGGAGAGAGAGAGAGAAAATAGGAAGAAAAAAAAAACAAGTGCAAGAAAGCGGTCTAAACGAAGCGCAGCATCTTGACGGATTTTCTTTCCCCGAAGGTTCCAGGAGGGGCGTACATGTACAACGACGACCAGGCTGTCGCCATCGCCCACTGCTCCATTGACTCTGTGGAGTAAAGCCGTCTAACAACAATGCGGTGTGGGGTCGGCAGAGCGCCCACAAGAGACGTGTTGCGTATTACGGCAGCGGTGTCTACCACGCCGGCAGCTTCCGCGGCGGCGACAGCTTCTTCGACTGCAGCGATTGCGTCCCTGATGGTGTCTATAAGGAACGGCGAGGTGAGCTGCACCCGGAATTTGTTACACCCCTCCGCCAGGAACACCTCTGATACTTCCTTCACCAAAGACTTGCGCTTGACAAAAGCGGCAAGGAGGGTTGCCGCGGCCCGCTCGTGGTACTGCAGCACGCTTGCAACGGCCCCCACAACGCCAAGCATCACAACTTGGTCGGCCGTCACCTCTGAGTTGTCGGCGAGGACCGCATTGGACGCCGCGGAGGCCTCGTACGCGAGACACCGCGTGGCCACCGAAGTAAAGACAAGACTCAGCCTCTCTGCAGTGACAGGGCTGATATCGCTAATAAAAGAAGCGAGGTTCGATATGATTGAACTGCAAGTCACATGCAGGGGGCATATCATCTCGTGGCGAAATAGCATGAAGGAGCAGAGCATGATGATAAGTAGGTCATTGTAGGACCCCACAAAGGACTCAAATTCAAAGGGAAGACGTTCACGAAAGGCCGCGTTGCACTGCAGACAAAATGTTCTCAGTTCAGAGAGCCGCAGTAAGATAAACAAGACGAGCTGCAGGTGTGGGAAGTACTTTGGGTCCCGCCTGGCGTCGAGCGCGTAATCCACCAGAGGCACTATATACTCCATCGCCTCTGGCTGCTGCCCAAAGGCCACCCGACACTGCGGTGAGAGCTCAACTAACCGCCAGAGCAGCATCATGAAGTCATCCTGCGTTAGGAAGCAATGCTGCGATTCGGGGAGAAAGGTTCGATTTGAATACAACTTTAGACCAATGATGTTTTTTAGTCGCACCACAACATACTTCGCCTCCTCCGGCGTCAGTGTACAGATGAGTTCCCTTGCACTATGAATGATTTTTTTGGGCTGCGGGCTGGGCGGCTGTAGTACGGGCGGCTCTTGTGCGTCTCCCTGTGTTTCCGCAGCCGTGACTGCCGCACGGTGCTCCTGCTCCGCAGGTCCTGTCATGTTTGTAGCCTGCGCGGGATCATCAACAGCGGCGCCTGGATAACATATCATGGCACATAAAAACCGTGCAGACATCAACACCACATCCTCCTCGTTCCCAATCCAATGGCTTGTGTATGGCATAGAACCAAAAGGCACGTACGACAAAATGGCATTTAACGTGGAGGCGACAAGTGTCGGGAGAAACGGCGTCTCATCGACGTTAAGCAGTGGCTCCGAAAAGACGGTGTCGCGCGTGGCCGGCGGAGAAAACAGTGGCAAGGCCAAAGCTACAGTGAGTGTGTAGAGGAGCTCTTTCCGAACGGCGTGCGTTGTGGCGCCCACCACCTGTGGGGCGGTGTTCTGCTCCCGCATTCCACCCACGCCCGGGTACCACAGAAGGGACTCCTCCACGCTGGGGTGACTCTCGCATGGCTTTGCCGGGGCGAAAGCGGTGGGCAGCGTCAGGCCGCGAATAAAACAACAGTCTACTAGCAGCCGTCCCAAGAATTTGCCCAGCGTTGCATTCTGGCCAGGGAGAAAAAGGAGCAGCTGCGTCGGCTGCTCCTCATCGCAGGCGAGGTTTTCCTCAAAAAAGGAGCGCACAAAAGAGGCGGTAAAACGTGTTCGCCGCCTTTTACCGCCTGCCTCCGTTCTGCGAGGACCCACATCCGTCACAGCGTCGTTGGCGTTGGGCGTCTCAGCTGCGACCGGTTCCTCCTCATCGCACGGTGTGTCCCCGCTCTCCATCGCGATAGGAAGCAGTCGCCGCAGCAGGCACAGCGCAGTCAGAAGCCGCCGCGACACGGCCTGCAGGTCGGCCACAGGCTCAAGCGAGGCGCTGCGCGCCTGCGAGATGGCCTCAATGCACTTGAAGAGGAGTAGCGCAAAGTTCTTCGTGTAGTAGTGCCGCACCAGCCTTAGCGTAGAAAACGGGAGGGCGCGCTCCACCTCTGTGTTGGAGAGAGCGGTGCTTAGCAGCAACGCAATCAAGCCTTCGTCCACGGGGGCGTCCGTCAGCAGCGAGCGTAGTGCCTTCCCCACCTCCAGCGTTGAGCTAGATGTCCCCATCCTCCAGGCAGACTATGAGAGCTTGTTAGTGTTCGTTTCCTTGGGAAGCACGCAAGAATGGGAAGCTGCAGGGGGACGCGCAAGGACGTCTACCACCACACGCCCTCCGTTTCAAAAGGCATGTATTTGTTTATCCCCCTCTCTACCCAGCCCCCTGTTAATTTCGTGGGAGGAGGGAGTGGCAGGACGCGAGCCAAACACACGGACACGCGTCCAACCTGAAAAATAAATAAAAATAAAAATAACTGAAGGAGAAATACAAGCAGCAGCCTAGGGAAAACAGAGAGGCTTGGAAAATGCATACCAGGCGTTGCGTGCCCCATACAGGCTGCACGAGGGAACCCTCATAGAAACTTGGTTCCGTGTGTGTGTGTGTGTGTGTGCGTGCGTGCACGACGACGGCGCGCTCCCGCCCCGCCGACTCACACCTCGGCCACGCCAGAACTTCTAAACTGCCCGCACACGCGCTGCTGGGCCCCTGCGCACGTCGTGCGGGGGCGAAGTCCCAATTTTGTCAAGCAAAGCCACAGGCAACATAAGCACCATTCTTCATGGACGGACGAGGGCTTCCGCACGACAAACAGCGCCGCGTCGCAGTGTCGGGTCGACATGGCAGTCAAGCAAAAAAAGCCAGCGGGGAAGGGGGGTGCAGGCATCGGGGAAAGAGACGTCTGTGCACCCCATTGCCGCCCCTTGGCTTTTTTTTATTTGTTTGTTTTACATCTTTTTGCGCCTTGGCGTGGAGATGAACCGGAAGTGGCTACGGAAACGCCCGCGCAAGCACACGAGCACGCCTACACAAGCGAAATAACAACAAAGAAAAGAACAAACAAGACAGGAGTGGGTCAAGCATAATTAGAAAGCAAATACAAAAGCCACCTTCTTTTGTTTACCCACCGCAGGGGTGCCAAGCACCCGGTGCAGCGGATTAATACTTCACGCTGCCGCAACCGCATCAAACACACATACACACATACGCATGTATATATATATATATATTTACAGAGAGAAATAAGCTTGCAGAATCCGTCAACCGCGCAAAGTAGGCAAAATTTACATCCTTGGCACATTGTGGTCAGTACACCTGTTCCTCCAGCCGGAACGGCGCGTGCACGCGTTTTCGCCGCAGCAATCGCTCCCTTTCCCGCATCCCTCTCAGCTTAGCCGCCGTCCTCCGCGCCAGATGGCTTCGGTAGGCGCACTGAATCACCCTTGCCGCTTTATTTTGTAGGCGTCGTTGCAAGTTCACCTTTTCCCTCGCCCGCTTCAGTAGACGCTGCTGCAGGCGCCGCTGCAAGGGCACCTTGGAAGCGCGGCGCACGCGATACCCCCGGAATACGCTCTGGATAACTGTGGCACACTTGTTTAGCAGCGCAGCACGATAACAGTTTCGCCCGTAGCATCGTTTTGCGTGCACGGCCGGGCCATAAACACGCCGCACTAAAAATCCGCGGAACGTTTTTTGTATCAGCGTCGCGTAGTACTCCCGCGAGAATTTGAAGTGGTGAAGTATAAATTGCGTCAGCTCTCCTTCCTCGCACCACTTATGGAGCCGGTATGCATGGCGCCGATACGCGCGCTGAATCTGCGTCGCCGCGAATTCGCGCGTCACCGCCTCCTTCTGACGCTTCAGCGACGCATCTCTTTCCTCCTTTTGGGCGAGGCAGCGCCGCCGCGTGGCATGCATGCGAACCAGACTCTGGACCTTCATGACTCGGCGCATTTCTGTCTGATGTTGCTCCTGAAGCCGTCGCAGCTCTTTAATCGCCAGCCAGCGCCTTGCGTACGTCTGCAGGGTAATTGCGGCCTTCTCCTCGAAGTATTTCACGCGCGCTTCTCCCCGCATTGGAATGCCGTTGGAAGATTTCCGCTCAAGGAGCAAACGGAAGAATCGCACTATTCGCCTCGCACTCGCATTCTCCAAAACCGTCCTTGCCTCCCGCTTTATCTTCATACTCACCTTCAACTTGACGATATCCTGCGCAAGCGCGAAGGCGAGGAGCGCACGTCTCACTATGTTTGTGGCCTCCCACCGTTCCTCGTACGCCTTTTCGGCCCGCAGCAGCGTCAGCAAGCGATGATTCAAAATTTTCTTAAATGCGGCAACGCTGCGCTGGGCATTTTCAATTGACTTCTCCGACAGTGGTGGCGGCATAAACGCCTTCACAATACTTGCCGCCTCCGGAGAAAGCAGAGGTGCTTGTTTCACCTTCGGTGGCGGTGTCACGACGATGTCGTCGTTTTTCTTGGCAATCGGGGACCAAATCGTCCTCCGTGGCGGCGGAATATTTTTTACCTCTGCCTCATCTATAACCTGCAGGGGCGTCTCCTCGCACAGCAAGACCATGGCGGCACTGTTTGCGCCTGCACCCTCTGTGAATGGAAAAGCGGTCTCGCCAAGCGCTTGACTTCCGTTCAAGACCATGCCTTCCACGTCCACCACCCGCAGCAGCGGGACCGCGGCGTTGCTTAGGCCCTCGGTCTGCATCTTCTGCCGCAGGTAGTCACTGATGGGGGGAAGTTCCACAGAGTCATCCTTTGTGTCATTTGTCGCACCTGAATACCGCCGCTTGTGTTTTTTGCCACGACTCGAATGCTTAAAAGAAGCCTGCGTCGTCAATGCAGACTTAGGTCGCCCTCCTTTTCGTCGAACAGTTGCCTCCACCTGTCGAGCGGCCTCCATCTCTGCCTCGGCGAGTTCGCGGCGTCGGGCCGTCTCTTCTCTGCGGCGTTGTACGATCTCCACAAACCGCTTTCGAGCACATTCAATGATACTTGACCACTGTTGGTAGGGGCTTGCGACTAGCATTTCAGTTGCCTGCTTGTAGTAGCCCTCCGCCTCGTGTGGCCGGAGGTACTCCTCAGCGATGGCCAAATAGTGATAGGCAAAGGCGCGAAGAAGCCCATCCACATCCTCGCGAGCCGTCGCACTTTCACACACCCGCTCCGTTTCCTCCTCGTCGCTTTCTTCGTCCTCCTCGCGAAGCACCTCCAGTGCTCGCTCGCGCGCCTCTGGGAAGGAGCAATTGTGCACGCTTACCGCGCACATATTAAGACTAATTATGCAGACTATCTCTTCCGCCACGGCATTGGCGAGTGCCACCTGAAGAAACGCCGCAGCCCTCATCGTATTCCCGGACCGCAGTAGCAGGCAGGCCCAATTGTTTAGGGTCAGTGAGACAAGGAACGCGATACCTCTGTCTTCCTGCATAGGTATGAAAAGCCGGCTGGGGTCGTCGAGGTCAAGGTCCCCTTGAAGATACTCCCGCCTCTGTAGCTCCTTGAGACACAACCGCAAGAAATCCTTCGCCACTTTGATGTCGGTTGCGAGGCTTTTAACGCCAAGCGCGTTGCAGTGCAGGATGAAGTCCTTGAATAGCAAATTCCCCGCTGCCGGGCCGCGCCCTAACAAAGACGCTGAACCCGAGGTGACAGAGGCAGAAGCGGCGGCGGCGGCGTCCTCCACCTGCGCGAGGGCCCGCTCATAGGCTTTGATTGCCAGGAAGTGCTTTGAGTCAGCGTACAGCCTCGTCGCGAGGCGCAGATAGTCGTCCTCCTCTTCCGCCGCCGTCATTGCACTGCCGCGGCTCTTCAAATCCGACCCGCAGTAAAAGAAAAGGTATAAAAAGGAAAATAATAATAATAATAATAATAATGAGAGAGAAAAAATATTTCTGCCTCCACAGGTTTACCTCCAGATAAAACAAAGCAACATAAAACAACTACAACACCGAGGACGACAAACACAAATGCGGAAAATAAAGCCCCCAAAGAACAAAAGTTAAGTGGTGAAACAATTAGTAAGAGTATTAGCGGTACACCGGCACCCGGTTACTCGCAACACCCTCTGAGGCAGCAACAATAAAAAGAAAAAGGAGGGGGGAAGCAAGACCCCATGCTGGAAAAGGTGCTTGTATTTTACAAATTTGAATGTGAGGACCTTGGTGCAATGAGCAACCTGCGGCGTCGGCCATTCCTTGGTTGCTCCGATTTCGTCCCAGGGCTCTTTCCGACCTCATCCTGCATGAGAACCAAGTAGTTTTTGTGACTCGGCTCAGTCACCCCGTAGTCGTCAGGGGCGTGCTGCCTGTGGAGCTCCACCGCACACCACTTAAGGAACAAGACGACCTCTGAGACGTCGTCCGTCTGCAGGACCCACGTGTCGTTGATTTCAAGGTATCTATCCAGGTCGGTGGAAAGCGCCAGAGGGGTGCGATAGCAAACAACAATTTTCATTGCTCGCCCAAAAAACATAATGTCATCCACACTTAACGCACCAAAACGCACTCCGACAGCTTGAAATGCCACTTTGCGTGTGCCCAAACGATTGAGCTCACGATATAGCATTCGAGCGCTGTGCCAGGTATCCACCTTGAAAACAACACCGACCTGGATACTGCTCCTAATCATTTCATCACACTTCGCTTGGGTCTCAGGCCTATGGAGAGGTTGCAACTGGATCCAAGTGTTCTGTAACGTTATCTTAAGATCGTCGTCGAGAAATGTATTTCCGTGCGACCCATCTTCCAATAAAAGTTCGTTTTCACGCTCTTCATGCTCCGAATTTTTATCCGACAAATACTCTGCAATACTCTTCTCACGAGGTGTAGAATCACTCGTTGCAAGCGCTTCTTGCGCGGGTTGCGCGTTCATCTCGGCTAACGATGCATCTTCTGGGGATCCATAAAGCAATTGATACTCTAAGCAGCGCGTATGTTTAAGCTGTCCATAATCGCCAAGGTGTGCAAAGGACACGTCCATCCCCCTCGGACGAAGCAAACTCAACCGCGAAGGGAAACACTCAACAAACCACTGTAGCAAACGTCTGTATTCAAAAACGCAATCTCTTTCCTCCGTAGATGGCATTGAGAGTAGATGCGTTCTTACACCGGGACATCCGGTGCTACTGTGAACATCAATAATTGTAACAGCCGTACCTGGATACGCCTTGGCCACGGAATTACCAATGGCGTCTATCATGTAATCCACACGCCCTTTTGTATGATCAGCAACAAAGGGCATGCCCTTTGTGATGCAACCTTCTCTAACGATAACAGTCAAAACAAGACATCTCGTACTTGTTGGATTCGAGCTTTGCATCTTTTTTCGGGCAGCATTGAGGGCAGAATGCAGTCGTACAGAAACACTGTTTTTTCCAAACTGTATCTGTCGTTTTTCAAGGGTCACATCTTGCTTCTTTTGAAGTCGTTGGACGCTCTTTCGAGTTCTAAAACCCTCTTCATCAAATAGGTGTTTTGAAGACTCCAAGATAACAGCCTGATGTGAGCAAGCATGTGAATTGTACTCCTCCCTTTGGCTGTGGCAAACCGGCGATAACGCTAAAGACATTAGTTCAATAAGTGACCAAAGAAGATTTATATTTTCGCTTGTCTTCGCTGATATACAGACCCCGGCACAACTGCGGTTTAAATTCACAACTGGATGTGTGTTGCTTCCTTTATATTCAGGATCTACTTTTTTCATTGGTGCGAATAACTGGACGGCATTATGCACCTCTTTGGATGGCGGCGTGTCCAACTTTGCATTTGACTCAAATACTCGTAGTCGTTCAATATCCTTCTCCTTATGAATCATAGCAACATGCAATCCAGCTCCTCGTAGGTCCATAATGACCTTAAACATGGCTTCATTTGCCTTTTTAAAATCCGAATAAAGGTCCAGTTTATTTAGTACCACCAGAATCGGTTTATCAAGGTTTAAAGCCACTTTAATGGTTTCATAGGTCTGACTTCTGACACCATCCACTAAGGAAACGACTAAAATTATAGCATCTGCTATACTTTGTGCATGAAAACGAGTCTCTGTGAATATGCGTTGACCAGGCGTATCGACAAATGTTACAGGTTTGACGCCTTTTTTAGAGTCAGGAGTCGTGAAAGCTCGAACGGTCTGAGATGTGCCCCTGGACTCTTCGTTACGAAAATTTGTTTGCTGTAAAACATCAAGGAGTGTTGTTTTTCCGTGTTGACTGTGACCCACAACCGCGATAACGGGAATACGAGAAGGTCTGAGAGGAGAAAGTCGCCTGAGATAGTTAAGTCCCGTAGAGACAAATACATCCTGCTCCCTCCACTGGATAAACTTGTTGTCCCTTTTATTTGCGGCGCCTTCGAAATGACAATTTTCCTCGGCTTTTAGCTCCTCTACACATCTTTTTCTCACATCATTCGGAAGTCCTCTCATGATTATATTTGCTGCCAGTTGATAAGGCACAAGACACGTCACCAGGCGTTCGTCAGTGAGCTTGTGCTGCTCCCAAATTACACGTTCCACCTCTTTTTCCTTTAAATTTAAAAGTGTGTTCAATGACTTTGCAATATCATCCTTTAGTTTGGCATCAAAAGACCTAGAACGCCGATTAGTATTTGCGGCAAGGGCCTCTTTTTCCAAATACTTTGCAAGCCTAATGGTGCGTGTGCGAACAAGGTTTACAAAGGAGCATGCATCCATAACCGAGTTCAGTGGGTAAAAGGCATCAGGAATTCTCAATAAATGGATGCGCGAGCACCACATCTCCCTAACATGCCTACAAAGAAAAAAAACTTTAACCTCAGAGTATAAATAGGTGAAGAGAGAGAAAGGGGGAGAGAGAATGCAAATAATACTACGAATAACACTAGTAAGAATAATAACAGTCCAAGGGACATTTTATGAGACGCAATATAGATAGTAATCCAAAAAAAAATGAAAAAAAAAGAAGGAAGAAGAAGAAAAGACGATTCCCGCTTATATATATATATATCGAGTAAAGGAGGCAATAAAAAAAAATACCCATCGTTCTCCTAGTATTCAAATTTCTTCTCCTAAGCTTTGAAGAAATAAGCAACTGCAAAGTATGGTAATAACACCTTCCAAGAAAGACTGAAAATGCCGCTGTCAACCCATACTGTACTCAATGTTTTCTCCCGGGACATAACATAAACAGGATGTCGGTAAAATACAGTGGGCTCTCTACCCCGAACTACCTTCTCTGCAAGTGTGGCACATGGCTTTTCAACCTGCAGAGAGGTAAAATTGCGAGCCTGCGTCTGACCGAGCGCCAAGAGGCGCATTCCATATGAACGGAGCATGTTACCCTTTCCTTAGTAAATAAATAAAAGCAAAAATAATAATAATAAAGAGCAAGAGAAAGCGAAAGCGAGAGGGAGACAGAGATAGAGACAGACAGACAAATAGAATAATAATAATAATAATAATAATAATAATAATAATAATAAGTCAAGCAGTAGTTCCAAAACTAATTCTTTTATTTGCTTTCCGTGGCAATCTCTTTTTGATCCCACAAACCCTGAGTTTCTTCAACATATGCATATATATATATATAGCCTCCTTCTCAGATGCAAGCTTAAGTAGTAGTAGATCTAAAATCCAGCACAAAGTGAGTTTCGTTTTCGTTGTTGATGTTAGCATGGATTGCAAGAGGTCCACTAGGGTACATGACACGAATAAGTCCTTTCAATATTCCAACTGTATAAATCAAAACGTCTTTGTGAATTGGCATATCTCCCAGTCTTTCATCACGGGTTGAGGCAGCTTCATCCTTGGTTACGGATTCCTCTGCATAGGCAGAGAGCGATACCGCCTTGGTGGAGACTGTGCGGTCACCTTTTATCTTGGGGAAGCCCTCAAGCCACCGAAAACTTCTGTCAATAAGACAAAAATAAATATCATTCATATGCATCATTCTATCTACTTTTTTCCCAAACGCAGTCTTCCAAAATGTTCGGGCGACGAAATGCGTTACACCCGAAGGAGTCCACTCACCAAAAGAAGGTTGACGATAGAGTAGTCGCTCAGACAATCGTAGGCCCAGCAACAAACCTAACCCTTCAAGATCCTTATGAGTATTCAACTCCACTTCATTTTCGGGGCTAGCGCTTGGACCATCTTCTCCATGAAGGGTCTGGCGACTAACGACGTACGAAATAAGCTCTATATTTAGCGCTGCCGCCACACTCTCACTGACTAAGCCGTTGTGACCCATACCTTTTCTGGAAGAAAGGTAAAAGGAAAAAAAATGTAACACACACAAGCATTATAACAATAATAATGCCAATAATAGTAATAAAATTAAGGTATAAAAGTAAGAGATACCCACATCCGTACACAGAGAGAGGCGCGAAAAAAGAAAACGAGAATAGGGATGGAAGAATGTGAACTTAATAACTGGTTTTCCCCATCTTTTTCCAATTACAGGGATACACCAGCAATACAAAGCTCATTTCCGTCCCACACAAAGAGACAAAGGAAAAAAGAGAGTGAGAGAGAAATAGAGTAATTGTTTGAAAAATAAGAACAATAACAAGTGAAGCTACGTAGTTGTCTTCGGTAGTACATCCGAAATTATATAGGGACTTCCCTCAATGACGGAACCTTCTTTTACATAGGGCAGAATAGCATCTCGTAGTAAAAAGAGTGCCTCTAAACCACAAACTACTCGGCCAAACGCAACATGGCGTTTGTCTAAAGACTCAAGTTCGGTGCGATTGTCCGTTAGACAGAAGAAAAAAGAATCGTCCCAAGAAGTAGATGAGCGACAGAGCGAAACAACTCCAACCGCATGACTTATACGCCCTATTTCGTTCTCGATATCGGAGAGGGGAAGTGATCGGGAGACTGAACGTTCACCGACTTGAAGCCCCTCTTTTGTAAGACGAAGAAAACGGTGTTGCCTGACCGAAGTTTGCTTACTGTTTTTCTTGTCTCCATTCAATGCACCCGGACAACTGGTCAAGAAAAGTTCGCACGCCTTAGGGGCCTTGTTCAGAAGAATTTCTACATCAATTCGACAATATTGACCCTCTCCTTCCTTCTCAATAAAAAAGGAAAAAACGGGCAGATGGTCATCTCCTGACCCTTCGTGAAACTTTGGAACCCTTGTAGCCCGCTTTGACGGCATCCTAAATGCTCTCTCAGAAAAGAAACTCTCTCTCTCTTTCACACAAACAGACTCGCTGTGTGTGGCAGAAAAGAAAAAAAATAAAAACAAGAATGATGGGGGGGGANAGATGGCGTTAAAACCCAAACAATTACCACATCTCCAAACA